CTTAGAAGGAGTAACAAAATACTCATGGGAGCAAGTAAGGAGACAAAGTGTGGAGCAGAGACTGGAGGAGGGGCTGTCTGGAGACTGCCCTACCTGGGGATCCAGCCCATGTGCAGTCACTATACACAGGCACAGTTGAGGATGCCAGGAAGTGCATGCTGACAGGCCTGATATGCCTGTCTCCTGAGAGGCTCTGCCAGAGGTGGATGCTCTCAGCTAATCATTGAGCCATTATGGGGTCCCCAATGGAGGAGGTAGAGAGAAGACTGAAGGGGCTGAAGGGGCTGAAGGGGCTGAAGGGGCTTGTGGCCCCATGGGAAGAGCTACAGTACCAACCAACCAGAGCTCCCAGAGTCTAAACCACCAGCCTGGGAACATGCTTAGAGGGACCCATGGCTCCAGCTGTATGTGTAGTGGAGGATGGCCTTTGTCAGGCATTGGTAGGAGAGGAGGTCCTTGGTCCTGTGAAGGCTGGATGCCTCAGTGTGGGGAAATTTGAGAGTGGGAAAGGGGGGAGTGGGTGGATGGGTAGGGTCACATCCTCATAGAAGTAGCAGGAGGGGGGATGGGATAAGGGGTTTCTGGGGGTAGGGGGAATGGGGAAAGGGGATAACATCTGAAATGTAAATAAATAAAATATCCAATTTAAAAAAATAATGAAATAGAAGCCAAATCAAATTGGGTAGTCGGTTGCAGATTAGGAAAAAAAAAAAGGAGGGGGGGAGAGAGGAGCAGAAATGTTTTGTCAATCCATTAGCTGCTTCCTCAGACCTGGAATTGACTTGCTCAACATCTCAACCCTTTCTACTATCTGGCCACAAATTTTATCTACAGCAGAACCTGACTTGCTTCAAGTCATAGGGGTATTTTTCTCCAGGCAAAATGGGCTAAAAGATTGACTAGAAACTCCACAAAAGCAGGGTCTTGGAGACTTCACAGAAGAGGTTCCCAGTGACTACTGCCAAGGCCACCATCAGCACTCCAACAGGGAAAGGCAAAGCTGTGGGAGGTAAACATAAAGAATGAGCATTGATCTAGCCACTCCTGACTCTGTAGGAACACAGCAGCTGGGCGGTTGATAGCTTCATCTAGCAACATGCTGGAGAACAGTCAAGAAAACACTCGTGAGTGGAGCTGGGAGCCTACAGAGAAAATGGAACTGTCCAGACACAGCAAGAGCACAGCTGTGGATCAGCCAAGGAGAGGAAATCTACATTCAGGCCAGTAATCTCATTTTTTTAAAATTTTTCCACACAGCTCTCCTTCCCCTCTGTACTTTTTTAAAAGTTTTTATATTCTTTTTACTTTATGTGTGGGTGTTTTGTCCTCCTATGTGAACCACATGTATGTTTAGTGTCCATGGAGGTTAGAAGAGGGCATGTGGATGGTTGTGAACCACCATCTGGGTGATGACAATCAAACCTGTGTCCCCTGGAAGAGCAACAAGTGCTCTTAACTGTGAAGCCATCTCTCCACCTCTACCACCTCAGCTATTCTCCCCTGCAAACTCCACTGTCTTTGGCTCTCCCCACTCCCCTACAGCTTAAGTTCTTATCTAGATAGAGCAGGAAGCTCTGAAGCAAGACAGCACTGTCCCTGGCTGATTTCATCTTCTGCTGTTTCCCACACCTTTATGCTGGTGAGTACCCCACCTCTCTCTCTCTCTCTTTCTCTCTCTCTCTCTCTCTCTCTCTCTCTCTCTCTTATCTTTCCATTCCTCTCTTTTCCTTTTTCCTTCTTTCTTTTCCTTCCTCTCCCCCATACTCATTCTCTTACTGTGACACGTGACATCTCTCGAAGCCCAGAGGCTGATCTCATCTCTTTATAGTCTTCTATTAACCAAAACGCCACATATCCACCTACCCTTCCTATGGATAGCTCTCTTATGTACTTCCCATATAAACGAATAGTCATCACTGCTCTCACGGTGATTGCTAACCTCCTCTTTTCCTTTGCATTTATCCTAACATATTACTATACACAGTATCATTATGGTCTCCTCACTCCCAAATTAACCAGCACCTATCAAGAGTCAGCTTTGAAGTCTCCAGCTACTCTATTATCAGAGTGGATTGAATACTAGATAGTGAGGGTTGCTGCAGGCAACTTAACCCATAGGGGCAGATTGAAGGTAGAGTCAGATGCCTGGAACACCAGTCTAAGAGGCTGAAAAATCATCACAACTATACTGCAATCTAGCCTCTCTTGAACACTGCAAATTAATCCACTGAAAGGAAAGAGGCAACCTGAATTAAAAGAACAAAACCATCAAGTCTAAACTAATGATCTAACATCTGATGAGCAGATGTCAGCACAAAGACACAAGTAGCATGAAAAACAAACAAAATAAAACAAGACAAAAACAAGGCAATTGTCTCCTCCAAAATTTACAGAGCCCATACTAATGACCCCTGATTAAAATGACTTAGGTAAAATTACAGGACCATGTGTTGCTATTCTAATATATATGACAAAATAGATCCAAGTCAACTCCTTATCAGTATTATATTTAATTTTCCATGCAATACCTTTTGCTCATGTTTTCCCTCACCTAAGAAATTATAGTCCTTCCTTGGCTATAGCATACTTCGATCTCTCTTTTTTTTTATTCCTCTGCAAAATGAGGGCTGCACTATACAATGATGATAGCCGTAACTATTGAAAGATTGGCCATATACTAGCACAATGTTACCTTAAAACATTGAAAGGGGGTTCTTTCAACAGATGAGGGAATCTACATTGAGACAAACAGTAGAATTTAGCCTGTGTTTCCTTGTAACACCATTATTACATGTTCACACCTCACTGAATACAAATCTGACCTTGTAGACTTGCTGAGCTGCATAGTCATCCGTGGAAAGGGGTCATGGGAGATAATCATGTTCCACATAGCAGGAGGCAGAGTACATGCTGTTCAAAGTCCTTACCTACGTGCTTGCCTTCAGCTAAGGTAATGATAGTGGATAAGACATTACAAGTGATAAAATCTATAGTACTAACAATGCCACTGTTGTAAAACTTCACCCAGAAAACTTAAATGCCAAAGATATTGACATAGCATCCTTCACAGTGCCCTCAATGTATGGTCTTGGAGAACCTGCATCAGGCCCTCAAGACTTGTAAAGGATGTAGCATCTGAGTCTTACCCAGGGTAATCTGAGTCAATACATTTGGAGTAATGCAGGATTCTATAATGTTCCTTTATAACTGAAGTTTGAAAAACACCATTCCAGTCACTGATGATGTTCAATGCTTCCATAGTTAAGGCTTTTCAACTCTACTAAGGGAGTTGTAAAGCCTGTGACATCATGATACCACACTAATAAGTACAGTGATGGATTCCTGAACAGCCCCCCCACCCAACCCCACTCAAGAATACCATAATCCCTAAATATTCAAGCTCTTGCACAAAATGATATCATATTTGAATATATACTTCCACACACTTTCTTTAACTTTGGGGTTATAAAGTTAATATTCCTTTAATATTCTGTATTTCTTTAATATTCAAAGCATCATGACTTAAAGAAGAAATTTGTGGAAGAAGGAGTTTATTCTGACTTACAGTTCCAGAAGGATGAGACAGGAAGACATGAATGTCAGTAGCAGGCATGGCAAAAGGAGCAGGAAGCAGAGAGCTGGCTTCATCCACAAGTGTAAAGCAGGAAGACTGAGCTAGAAGTGGCTCAAGGCAATATAAATTCTCAAAGCCCACCCGTAGTGATCTACTTCCTCCAGCAAGGCAGTACTATTCCCAAAACTGCACCACCAACTGGGTACCAAGTGTCTAAGTACCTGAAACTACAGGAGACATTTTTATTCAAACCACTACACTTTGGGAAATGAAGAGGAGAAGAAAGTCTGTACTGTTCATCACAGAAAAGACCTAGCCCTCACAAGAGTAGGGACAGGCACAGACACACATATACAGAGAGACATAAACACTTCCGTTTCATGATTGAAATAATCTATGAATGTGAAATCTACAGGTAAGGAGAGTTGAATATATAATATGCTAAATTTAAAAGATGAGTATAGAAATAGAAAAATACATTGGTAATGAAGAAACTTGTACTCAAATCTCTGTTGCATATGCAACTGTGGGCATAGTTATAAACTTCTATGAACATTAGCTTCTACGGTCTTCAGGAAAATAGTGATTAAAGTGCCTGGATCAGCAGAAACCCAATAAACACTAGGTATGTTAGTCACTGTGATAAATCCTGAGAGGAATAAATTAAGGAAGGAAGGATTTGTTCTGCTTAATTGTTTCAGAGGCTTCAGTCCATCATGGCAGGGAGGGTGTGGCTCACCTGCAGCTAGGATGCAGAGAATACCTGGGTGAGTGAGCTTCCTGTTCTCCTTCTGCCATCTAGAGCCCCAGCCTACAGCATGGTGCTATCCACATTCAGGGTAGGCTTTGTCTCTTTAGTCAATCCTCCTCAGAAAAACCCTCACCGATACATAGTGAATCACATTGTCTCTTGAAAAACAAGTGAGAAAATTTTGTTTTTAAAGCACTTAGCAAAATTAAGTGCCAGGCACTGGTCAGTTAGCAACATAATGTACATCATAACAAGAGACTAGATGTGTGCTTTACTAGTACCCTAGGTGCTTCTTAATCCAAGTTGGCATTAAAGATTAGCCCTTACAATAGGTACCTTGATGATTACAAATGTAAAACTGTATGAAATAGGATACCCTCTCTTATTAGACTCCAGTATTAAAATCATAAGAGCCAGTGAGTATGTAAGGGGTATAATAATAGCGCAACATATTAGCATTGGAATCCAATTTTCTGTGTTCAAATTCTAGCCTGTTCATTGTGGTACTAGCATCAGAATAAATCAGAACCCTTTTGCCTCCTAGAATAAGGAAGACTCTAATATTGTCAGTCCACAAATAGTATGTTGCTAACTGACCGATGCCTGGCACTTAATTTTGTTAAATGCTTTAAAAACAAAATATGTTCACTTACTAGTCAACTACTACAATGTGATTCACTATTCTTCTGTCCTCTGAGTTTTCCAGGTCTTCTGGTTTCCCATCTCATTCACTGTTAAATATTTAGATGGGATCTGCTAGGTTGCCTAGGCTGGGCTAGACCTCCAGGGCTCACATGATCCATCTAATGCAGACTGTGATACCATCCTCTCATTGACTTCTGCTTATTTTGGAGGTGTTTGTTTGTTTGTTTAGTTGGTTGGTTTGGGAGGCAGGATTTAGCCCAGGCTGGCCTCAAAACCACTCTGTAGTGGAAAATGGCCCTGAACTCCCTATCCTCCCTTCTCTACCTCTGAAGTGCTGGAATCAGGCATACACCACCATGTTGATTTTTTAAGAGAGAGGCTCACTAACTTGTATTGTTGTTTATGCATTTGTCCTAAAAGAAATAATTATAGCAATTAAACATGATTACAAGGCAGTTTTCTAAAGACTTTGGGAGCATGAAATCATTTCCATTCATAGAATGAGGATATGAAGTATTGATGATATTATCATCTGGGATTTGCAGATGAAAAGAATAAAAGGGAAGACACATGACTTACCCAAGACTGAAACTCACAGAGCCTTCACAGACCCCCATCTTACCAATAGGCATTTTGCCCTCACAGACCATTTTTGACAGTCATTGATAGATAGACAGTCATTGATGTTTCACCACTCTGGCTATGGTGATGCCCTACATGAAAGGTAAGCCAATGTGTTTTTCCCATTCTTCTGAGTCCTACATTCTTGTGCAGCCATTGTGAGTTCTTGTACCCAGGTAGAAAAGAACGGCTTACTCCTTTGTGAACATACTGTTAAAAGTCCCAGTGGAAGAATGCCTTGGCCCACATGTTCAGTAAAATAGTTTGCATTTACTGTCACTGAGAGCCCTGTAGTTCTTCAAGTATTGGAAATAATTTAAGTGTTCTGAAATTTTAAGGTAACTTTGAGATATCCATACCACTTATGGTTTGAATCCTCCATAGGTTATGCGCTATGCTGATTGGTTGTGCTATTTGGGGGAACTGTAGAGTCATTAATAAGGCGGGGCTTAGCTAACAGAGATGGGCCACTGGGAGCAGGCCTCTGAAAGTTAGACCTTTTCTTGGTTCTAGTCATTCTCTCTCTGCATCCTGCCCACTGTCATGTGAAGAGTTCCATCACACACTCCTACCCATGGGAAGAATTATTTCCGTCAATCATTCCTTCTCCATCCTACTGGACTAAAATCCATCTGAAAACAAAGACAAAAAATAAACTTCTCTTACCTTAACTTGTCTCTGTTACTTATTCTGATCACTACTGGGCAAACTTAATCAGAAAAAAAGGGGGATACCAGAATAGTAGACTCATTTCTGTGATAAAAGCTGACCATATTTGGTTCTTAAACTTTTGGAATTAATCTGTGGGAGGAATTTGGGGGAACTCTTTAGGTGAGAGAAGTCCTGCGATGCTCTGAGCTTTGTTTGACGGGACATTCTGTGGACAGTAGAGGCTGCTCAGTGGGCACAGATGGGAACAAGGACTGACAGGGATCTGAACAGCAGCATAGTCATGAAATGCTGTAGAAAAAAATCTGGCTACATTCTACCAGTGTCCTAAAGATCTGAGTGAGGCCAAATTCAAATGCAGAATATTGTTTGTGTAGGAAATGTCAAGATAGAGTAACACTAAGTCTGTGTCACGGTTGTTGCTTATTGTTACGAGCCAGTGTTTCTGTGAGACTTAGACTAAAAGGCTGAGGGGACAGATGTTTCAACATCTGCAGACAAATGTCTATAATGTAAAAGAGACTAGAGCCTTTGAAAATGAACCTATGCAGACTGCACTGGGAAAAGAGGGGAAAATACCGTAGAGACCAGGCACCAAACTCACAATTCCAAGATGTGAACATGCAATCATATGTGGAAAAACTGCCTGAAAAGAAAGCCACAAACGCACTCTACAAGGAAATCTGTCCAAGGAAGTTGTTTCCCGCTCAGATATGCAGGTTCTCATAGATTTCTGCAGCGAGGGTTCATGGCAGTTGCAGAATTCAGCATTATCCATGAGGTGCTGATTTTGCAGGCCTGCCTGCATGATGCAAAAGCTACGGGGTCAAGGAGGCTTGCACCAAGATCCCAGCAGCCAGGGAGTATAAAATGGGGTAAGATTTCCTGAAGGAAACCCTAAGCAGGTTATTTACAAAGCTGTGACAATGAAATCTAAAGTGCAATGGAGAGACCAAGAAGTGGAGATCTTGGGAGCAAAAGATGTCACCAGAGAGAAGCTGAAGGCACTGAGAGGAGCCAGCCCAAGTCACTGTTAGAGGTGGTACAGGTCAGAGACATGCGGCCAAAGCTTGGATAATGGACTACACAGTTTATTGTTTTCCCTCTTCTGGGTTTTGTATTTTCTCTCTCTCTCTCTCCCTTACTCTCTCTCCCCTCCTCACTCTCTCCCTCTCTCTCTCTCTCCCCCTCTCTCTGTCTCATCATTATTGCCAAGTCAATTATTATTGTTTTATTTCACTGCTATAAGGCTGTCTATCTATAACAAAGATCTTTGTAAAAGTCTTGAGGTTGGGCTAAAGCCGCTTTGCAGTTGGAGATGCCCAGAAGCCTTTGTGGAGCAGAGATACAATGTTACAGTTTGAATCTGAAGTGTCTCCCATGGGCTTGCCTTTTGAATGGTAGTCCTGCAGCTTGCCATACTAATTTGAATTGATGAGGAGTTTTTGGGAGGTAGGGTCCATGTGACAGAAGAAGGCCACTAGAAGTGGCTTTTGAGGATTGAAAACAACCCTAGTTCTGCCATAGTCTCTGCTTTCTGGTCCACTAAGTCATGAAGCGCCCCACCACTCATCCCTGCCATGCCTCTCACAGACAGAAAGCCCTGTGAAGCCACAAATGGAAGATGCTCTGTGAGACTTTTGATAACAGTGATGTATAAGTAGCTAATACAACCCCATAATCGCTTTCTCCTTCTCTCTAGAGATAGCTTTATTGTAGACTCAATTTCTTCTGAGAAATAATCTACCTCAGAATAGTTACCTTGGTTAACATTTCCGTGGAGCTTTATGAGGTCATCTACAACTTTAGCAAATACATCTAGAGTACTCGAATCCCCAACTACCCACAGTTAATATTCAGAGTATATAATTTCTCACTCCTCCCCTGCCCACTTCCCTGCCTACCAGAGTTCTGCATGTACCAAACCCCCCAGGAACGTTTTCTTTTTTAACAACTAATAAGGAGTTACACTATCTGAGCAAAACTAATGCTTACAAGAGAAAAGGATACAAGCAAAAACTACACAAAAATCCTGCAATTTTTCCACAGAGACCCAAGACTTGGTGTTAGTATACACATATGACAGGCCTATTGCTGATTTTAGGCCTATGGCTGATTTTAGGCCTTCAGAGTGTAATCAGGGCTGCCCCTGACATCTCCTCCCTTCTCTAAGTGGCTATAAGCTATTGTAAACAGGTAGCTTTTGTGGAAATTTACCAGCCCGAGTAGTCATAGACCTTGTAAATAGGTAGCCTTGGCAGACAATACCAAGTTAGATAAGGACAAGTGAGTCATAGGCAGAGTCATAGTGACCTGTCCCCTGAACCTTCACCCAGAAGATACTCGGTTCTGAAAGATATCTGTATTCCTCCTGAACACCCACATTCCAGTGTCATCCCGTTCCTCACATCCTGCCTTTCTGTGTTTATAACCCCTGTGTGAATGAATTACGATTTGAGAAAAAAATAAATAAATTATTTAAAAAATAAAAAAATAAACAAATCTAGCACTTTGAACTTTCACTTAAAGTCTTATTTTTGACTTTCTTTTCTTCAATGTTTAGGAAATTTTTTATTAAATCATAAATTTTGCAATCTAAATTACACGAATGATACTCATTTTCATAATAAAAACATAGTAGAATTGTCAATATTCTCTAAAACTTTTAAATTTTCAGATTGTTGTAGTGACATTTAGATCAATAAAATGTGTTTCTATATTAAACAAAAAATCCTGCAATTTAAGCAAATTAGAGGGAACAAAACACAGAATGTGAGTTCAGTCTACCTACATTTATGTTCTAGAACCCTCTGGAAGAATCTGGGTCACAAGTAAGTGATCTGTCCAAGACCACATACCACCACACCCTTTGAGGTGAAGCAAGAGGAAGCTGATTCACTTTCCTCACGGCTTGATGTACAGAATTGCCACACTTTCCCGGCAGTGGTATTTGTTGTTTTGCTTTCCTCTAACTTGCTCATATAATAGAAATATTTTCAGTTAGGTTGTTTCCGTTTTTAAAACTACAGTGGTTGCTGCTTTTATTTATATTGCACTGGCTTTTGATAAAACTACAGTTTGGGGGGGAATAAAGTATTAATGGGTGAAATTCACCCACTTCTTACTAGATTATGACTTTAAACAGTGGTAGTGTTTTAATCTGTTGTTATGAAAAAGCTTCATTTAAAAAGCACGGACATACAAATAATGCATGATCATATTTACATATAGATTGTAAAAACACTGAACTAGAAGTAGGGAGACTGGTTGGGGAGATTGGAAGCTGTTGATCAAAGGACACAGAGTTTCAGATATAGTGAAGAACAGGTCAGTTATTTCATACAATATTGATTATGGTCAGAAATAATGTATTTCAAAATTAAGGGTAAATTTCAAATGCCTCACTTTAAGAAATAATAGGAGAGTGAGTGATAATTTTATTAACTGGTTTAATCATTCTGCATTGGACATTTACATGCAAGGCCCTCATTATACTCCATAAATGTACAAACTTATGAAATGTCAATAAAAATAATGTGAAATAAATCAGTCCTTGATTATTTGCAAGTTTAATGAATTTGTAAACCATGTTGGTGCTATTAAAAATTATACATAATAAATCGGCCTTCATCCTACTAGAACTGCCTGGTACAAATCCAGTTGGATAAATGTCATAGTACTTGGGTTCCATTACTACTCTTTTGCTATTCAAGGTCACTTATCCTTCATGGCAATCCGGAGAAAACATGTGCCACGCCTAGCATGACATTTGATGTCTCACACAGACAGAAGTTTTAACTCAGACTAGATAAATCACCACTTTTGTGAGTTACTTACTAGCCACAGCACTCACCCATTCACCGTACAGATCTGTAAAGTATTAAAATTTTAAGTTAGTCCATTCAAGGTGCTATATTCTAAAACCTCTGGTCACAAACTAAACGCGGATTGTAAATAGTAGTTCTCCACCTGCACACAGAGAACAGAGGCAGGCATTGCCAGGGGTCTTACTCTATCTCTACTTTATTCAGCTGAGATGGGGTCTTTCAACTGGGCTCTAGTCAGGTAGTCAGAATCTGCTCCTGACAGCACTGAGGTGACAAGCAGTCCAGATTTTTTTTTTTTTGAATGCTAGTGATTGTAACTCAGGTCCCCACGCTTACACTTTACGTGTTCTTACTCACTGCACAATCACTCCAGCCCTGAAAGCAACAGTTATTTTTTACAAAACCCAGCAGAATAATGCTTGAAGTTTCAGCAATGACTCCATTTTCACAAGTACCATAGCCACCTGCAGCCACCCTGAGAAACAATTAATGAAGAAGATAAATAAAGCCAGAACTGACAGGATATTTTAATTGCTACCTTCTTGGGAGAGTTTCTGTATGTCAATGGAAACATTGTACATTAATGGAAACACTAACAGCTGTACAATTAGATTTTTAGCTAGTGTAATTCAATTAGTTGCTACAATATCTGAAGGAAGTTCATTGCTACTGATCATAGTGGAAGACAGAAAAGATATCCTTGGGAAGGGGGGTGTTCAGCATATCATACTGCACATATACTACTGTATAACCTATTTTAAGATATTTGAATTTATATCTTTATAACATTTAATTAAAGTAATGTAACTGTGCCCAGACCTTACTTTCTTTTTTATTATCAATTAATTAATGTGTGTGTGTGTGGGGTCTATGTGTATGATGTATGTACTCTGTGTGGATGTATGCACTTGCTCATGCAGAGGCCAGGGAAACACATCAGATGTACAGAAGTATCATTCTGTACCATGTTCCCTTGATAGTGGGTCTCTCATTGAACCTCAGGTTAAGCTGGCAGCCAGCAGACTCCATCAGTTTCCCTGTTTCAGGCCAGCACTGCACAGGGGTCACAGGTTAACATAGCTGCCTGCTTTTTATTGGAGCTGGGGATTTGAGCTGAGAGTATAAGACTTGGGCAGCAAGTATTCTTACCCACTGAGCCATATCACCAATGCCAA